TGACCCGTCTCCAAAGGGTTAAACAGTATCATATTGTCATATATTCCAAGATAGTATTTTTTGTTTAAATTTTTGACAAAATTTCTTAATTAGAACAGTTAGAACTTTTGTTGTTTCATGGGTATCTGACTTTTTTCCACTTGTTTAAAAACAAAATAATGACCCCAGATGTTTCTTGTACTTTTCTAACATTATTAATGTGATTTTCAACACCACCTTGCCTTTGGCCATAGTTTAAATGCTTTTTTAATTTCCACTTGGTAGCAAAGGAAACTTTTTATTTATTTTGATGCAGTCATCAGTTTCTTATTGTTTTCATTTTCTTTGTTAACAATGAAACTCGGATGCAGGGCCGGCTCAAGGTGGGATCAAAGGTCTCAAAGAATCCATTGAAAAATTTTAGAGGCACAAATATTGTAAAAATTTAGAAAAAAATACTAACAAGCGAAGAGAAAGGGGATTTTTGTGATGGTAGTTGATGTGCAGAACGTAAAGTAACATCACATCGAATACTGGAAAATTGAACTCCAGATAAGGTGTTATTATGTATGTGAAAACCAAATCAAACCTGTTTGTGTGGATTTTTTTTTTGAGACTAAAGTTGATAAAAACAAGTTTACATTCCTCAATGGGACAAGAGATTAAGCAGTCTAGCAATAATTTCTATATAGAATGAAACAACCAGAGAAATTAATATGGACAAATTAAGGAAAAGTTTTACCAGGTTAAAGTTCCATTTTCTAAAGACTAATCATTATTTTTTTTTACATGTATTTTTCTACTATGTATCATTTTTGTATTCTGTATTAAAAAAGTATTTTATTTTGTAAAGTAAAGAAATAAATAAAAGAAAATATTAAAAGTTGAAAAAGGGCAGTTTTTAATTTTTGCACCCTTCAATTTTTGAACTTGAGGCAGCACTGGCTAGACGTTATGAATGGCTTTAAATAGGTGAGATTTATTTTTTTCTTACTGAGGATTGGAAGCTCCTAGGTTCAAACTTGTGAGATGCTGCTAAATGTGCTCGACAGTTTTAGCCATGAGCACATTATTACACGTGTAAACTGTGTATGCTGCTAAATGTGCTCCACAGTTTTAGCCATGAGCACATTATTACATGTGTAAACTGTGGATGCTGCTAAATGTGCTCCACAGTTTTAGCCATGAGCACACTATTACACGTATAAACTGTGTATGCTGCTAAATGTGCTCCACAGTTTTAGCCATGAGCACACTATTACACGTGTATACTGTGTATGCTGCTAAATGTGCTCCACAGTTTTAGC